CTTGCCCGCGGTGTGTGGCCTGGTCTAGGCAGAGTGTTACGCGACGTAACATTTTCCTTCTCTATTATTGGTATTATTTCCTTCTCTATTCTCTATTATTGTATGGTAAATTATTTTCTCTAGTATTTTAGAGAACACAGGAAGTAATAATATTGGCCTGTATGATGTAGTTTGATGTGGGTCTTAGTTGCCCAGTTTAGATAACATTATGATCTGTGCCAGTTTCCATAGTTTAGGAAAGTATTGAATTCTTAGTATTGCGTTAAGTATTATGGTGATTTGTCTTATCGCTTTTGTCGGAAGGTTTTTCAAGATTTTGCCATTGATTAGGTCGATTCCTGGTGTTGTATTATTTTTTGTTTTCTCGATTATGTTTCTAATTTCTTGTCCTGTTGTTTTAAGTATGGTATAGTGTTTGTCAGTTGATGTACTAGTGGTTAGCACAACCTCGTCCGTATGACTATTGTGATTGCTTTTGTTGATATTATGTGGTGTAAATGTGTTGCATAAGTGGTTGGAAAATTCTTCAGCTTGCTCTTCGTTGTTTCTTGCCCATGTGTTATCTGCTCTTCTGATTGCTGGGACCCTTTTTATTGTCTTCCTTATTTGTTTGTGGCTTTCCATAGGGAGTAGTTGTAGTTCTCGTGTGCCGATAGTTTTGTGTGTGGCTTTCCATAGGGAGTAGTTGTAGTTCTCGTGTGCCGATAGTGACTCAATGAACTTTGTGAACTCGTTGTTGTTGTGTTCTTTTATTTTGTTTTTCATTTCTTTCGCAAGTTTGTTTAGATGTTTTTTGGTTTCTTTTGTTCTATGTTTTTGCCATTTTGCTTTCGCTTTTCCTTTTTCTCTAATTTTTTCGAGGATGTCTAATGGAATTATTTTTGTTTGTCTGTTGGTTGATTCAGGTATAGTGGTTGCCCATGCTGCTTCTTGAATAGTTTCTGTACATGTCGTTACTACTTGATCGATGTGTTCAGGTGTTTTCAATGGGATGTTGCTGTTGATTTTGCTTTCAATTATTTCTTTAAATGTTTGCCATTTGGTGGTTTTATTGCATAGTGTCTCTGAATTGCTGTGAAGTATTGGTTTGTTTCTGTATGTAAGTATTCTGGATGTATGATCAAAAGTAATCTCAAGGCTGGGTGCTATGTTTAGTTTATTTGCGTTTAGTCCTTTTATAAATGCAAAATCAAGTTGGTCAAGTATTTTGCTCAGATCTGTCGGCCTGTATGTCGGTCTTCCTGTGGATAATATATTGAGGTTATTGTTTCTAATGTAGTTTCAAGTTCTATCTCATGGTGTAGTGATTCTTGATCCCCATAGCTTTGAGTTGTAGTCTCCAGCTGCGATATACTTTTGACCTAAGTGTTGAAAGTACTCTTCCCACATTTGTGATGTAATTTTGTGGCGGTACATATACCGCTGTCAACTGAAAGTGGTTGCTGCTAGTTTGCACAGTAACGGTGGTTGCTTGTATATGTTCCTTACCAGCTTGGCTGTGTAAGTGATGTTTAATGTCGTTTTTTTATTATTACTGCGGTCCCTCCGTGTGCTTTTCTTGAGGGATGCTTGGTATCATATATGGTGTAGTATGGTATTTTTGTGTAACTTTTTGTAGTGAAGTGTGTTTCTAATACGAGTAGTGTGTCGATATTATTGTTATACAGGAATGTTTTAATTTCTAGGGCCTTTTGTTGCAGGCCGTTAGAGTTCCAGGCTGCTATTTTAAGCATGTCCATTTTTTTTCTTAGCATGTTTGTAAGTAGTTGTAGCATGACTGTGATTTGTTGCGTTTGCTGTCTGAGGACTGCGTTTTGTTCGCTCATCATTTTTGTTAGCATTTTGGTGTTTTTGATGGATTACATTAGTAATTCTTTGATTTATGTAGCGTCGTTGATGTTACTATTCTGGTTTTGGTTGTCTAGGGGTGTTGATTCTTTGGTTACTTGCGCGTAGCTTCGGTCACCAATGGTGTTGGTATTATTGTGGTAGATATTTATTACGTGCTGTAGATTTGGTGTTATCACAGTTTCTGTGCTATTCTGTTGCGCGTGAAAGTTGTTGTGTGCCCTGTTTCGAAGCGGCGGAAACAGTTTACATTACAGTTGCTTTCTGACTACACAGCCTTTGTAGCTGATGGGTGGATTCCATTGCAGTTGTCTCATTTCACATCGTTTGTTTTTTCTGTGTATGGACAGTTCGTTGTTAGATGCATTTCTGCGCATCTGACACACGCCGGGTTTCTGTTGCAGTAATTTTTTGTAGGTCCGTATTGTTGACACCGCATACATTGCGGTATGCCTTTTTTGTGTCTGGGTGGCTCGACTGTAATTATTGTGTTTAGAACTTCTCTAACTTCGAAAATTTCCTTGCTGTTGTTTTTAGGTTCGAGTTCTATTAGAAATAGCGGTAGTGGTTGTTTGGTATCATATCTGGTTATGTTGTTTATTGCTCTCACCTGGTGTCCGATGTTAGTTCCTCGCATATGTTGTTTGTATTTGTTTTTGGGTGTAATCCCCTGATTACTGCTTTGTAACTTTTATCAGTTTTGAGCTGATAAGTGTGATACCCGGTGTTCTTTTGTTTTAACGCTTTTACCACTTTTTTATAAGTTTCCGGGGTGTTAGTTTGGACTTTTACCTGGTCCAGTTTTAGTTGCTTAATGCTGTAATTTTCTTTACGTGCCGCGATATTTAGCAGTTCAATTGGGGGGGGGGGTCTATAATTTGGGCATCTATGTAGATTGGTGGTGGTTTGTTGATGTGTGTTTTTGGTTTTTCCGCTGGGTCTAATTTCTTGTGGCAGTGTGCTGAAGGAATTTTGGAGAGGAATTTCTTGATGCCATTGTTGCCTTTCCGTTTCTCCAGCCCTCCTAGCATTTGTATTTGATGTTATTTTTCGTTTTTTGCTGGGAGTTACAACCTTCCATCTTTCATTCTGGTGCGATAGATCGTTGTTGCTGTTGCTCTTTTCGTCATTCTTTTGTGTAGTTTCCGTTTCTGTTTCCTGTATAACTGAGCAGTCATGATCTTCGTTTGTTGATTGTGTTGGGTTTGTTGTATCTACAGCTCTGCTTATAAAATATGTTTCGCCTTTGTTTAGTATTTGTTTAGTGGTACTTGTTGCTTGTTTTCCATTATTTAGCGATTGGCTCGGTCTTGAGTCACTTTGTCTTCCCTACTTGTCGCACTTACGGAGGCACTGGTTCACACGTCCGCATAGCTTAACTGCTCGGGCAGAACTGTGTAGTAGTTTAATGACGAAGTTATTCGATATTGAAACCGTCAAATATATTTTAAAGTAATTATAAATACAAAGAAAACCGTAAATTGCTCGATACTGATCGTTAACCCTTAGAGTGCTATGGACGCCTATATGCGTCTGGCGAAAGCTATCGGTGTGGACTAAGAACACATATATATGCGTTTTCTGTACGTGTCCGGAATGGACTAAGGACACATATATACGTTTGTCAATTTTTTCGAACACCTACGCAGAATTACTACTATTACGTTTGTGTGAGATAAATATAAATGCATTCCTTATATATAATGCATATATTTTATACCAAAAATCTAGTGCTTCGAAACAAACATTTAGTGAATTTCATTTAGCGTTGATAAGAGACATTTTACGAAAATATTTCCAACGTAGAAGTATGGTAGGAGAAGGAAAGAGAAAGTCTGAGGATTTACCATTTCGTTTAATTGATAGGCATTTTCCATCAAAATGCCCCAATCGTGCCGGCACAACACAATTATCAAGAAGAAAATGTGTTGTTTGTGTGAAAAATAAGAGAAGGAGCGACACGCGATACGAATGCAGAAAATGCGATGTCGGATTATGTATCGAAAATTGTTTTGAAATTTTTCACACACAATTAACTTGTGTTATATTTACTAAATTTAGTTTTCTAGTTTATTGTTTTCTACCTTATTACCCAAATTCCAGTTTATTGTAAATTTCAATGTTTATAATAAATAATTAATACTAAAAAATAACGCTCTTGAATCATTTTATCTCGTGCAAAAGAATTACTATAACTTATTACGATTTGCGCTTTGAATAGTCAATCAACAGAGTTCAGTCTAGCGAATAAGTACTCCGTCCACAACGATCGTCAGCGCAACGAGTGTCACGGTGACCGTGGGAATGCAGCGAAATGATAATTATATCTCACATACCTTAGCCATCAAAACAGTAACTAAGCAGTAACGGAATCCCTATGTGTTCGACATCCAGCGATAACCCCTCCCTTAGCCATCAAAACAGTAACTAAGCAGTAACGGAATCACTATGTGTCCGGCATCTAGCGATAACCTCTCCACAGGAACCAAACCCTTGATATAAAAATACCTCCCAAGTCAGTACTCGACATTCTATTCTGTCCTGTTAAAACATTCTGTATCGTTACTCTGTCAGTTTCTAATAAAATTTGTAATAACGATCATAATTGAAGTGCGAATCTCTCACCTTACGTGTGGAACGTGAAATTACGCCGAATCGACGTGACAAAATTGGCGATCCTGCCAGGATCCATTCAACGCATCAAGAGGAAACTTCAACGGGAACTCTACGGATTCTACTGCGAAGGACCACGGTCACCTCCTTGATCAAAAGAAAGGATCTACGAAGAATCTCGGAAGGATCTACAAAGAATCTCGGTAAGCTGGCTTTCGTACATTATCGAAACCGTAAACCCGAAATACGTTCTGAAGATAGTGAATCTTCTTCCGCCGAAAGTGTCATATTTCTCAGCATGAACCCAACTGACAAGAGTACCGCTAAACAAAACGAGCTAATTGCTACCCTGATTGAACAATTTGAAAGCCTAACTCATGAGTTTAAGAGCTTTAGAAATAGCATCGATCAAAACATTAAAAGCATAAAGGAATTTGCGGAAACTAGTGACAGAAACCGCTCGAAAGAAATACGAGATCTTGCAAAAACCATGGAAGTAAAATACGATATAATACGATACCAAGACCGACCAGTCGCTAATGAACACCCATTTAGAAACTGCTGCTGATAACGTAACTGATGACGAAACTGACGGACCGAACGCTTCACAAAGACCACGAGCCGCATCTAACCGCGCCGCGATTAAACCAAGAAACAACTACAATGAATATCAAGGCCTCGAAGCAGATAAGGCCATACGAACTGTCGAGACATTACGAGGTCGAGATGACGTAGGCGTTGAAGATTTCATTTTATCGGTCCGCAAAGCAAGAGCTAGGTGCAAGGCAAGTGACAGAGAGTTATTATTAGATCTCATACTGAGAATCTCATACGATCTCATAGTTCGAAAGGATTACCGACAACGCGAAACGAAACATACGATATCTAAAAATCAACTCGTTCGAAGACTTATATTCAGGCTTAAGACAACACGTATTGACACCAACAACTATTAGCAATTGTAAGGACAAATTAAAGAATTTAAAACAAGGGGCAACAGAAAGTGTACAATCTTTCAACTCCAGATTCCGACAACAGCTAAACGAATTAAATTACGCAGTTCAAAACGAAAACCGCACACCAACAGAACGACGCGTAGCTATAGATATTGAAGAACGCGAAGCACTTAAAACCTATTTGCTCAACTTACGATACGAGATAGGACAGATGGCAGTATCTAGCGATCCAAAGAACCTGAACCTTGCCCAACAACTAGCAGCCGACAGAGAACAATGGTTACGAGAAGCAAATCCTGTCGCCAACCGCCCAAAGAATCAATCTCACAACACTACTAGTATCCAAGCGAACTACTACCGATCCACAACCACAATCTTTTGCTCAGCTACCTAGCCGACCATTAGACGACCGCATGAAACCGAAGTGTCCGAAGTGTTTACGAACTGGACACACAGCCGAAAACTGCCACTCTCGAAATTTTCCATTCGCCAACCAAGGAAAGATTCCACCCCGAGTAAACCAAACAACAGAGAACCCAGAGGAAGCTTACCTCGAGTCAACTGCACCACCACTGGAAGATTACTATCAATCGTACTGCAACGAAGAGACGGAGGAAGAGCCAGATTCCTCATCGATACCGGAGCAGGAATCAACCTTATAAAAGAGGAAGCCTCACTAAACGTCCAAATCTCTAACCCAAAGACCGTCCTAATGGGAAGTGACAAACATACCACTAACAAAATTTGCAATTTAACCATGCTCAAGAAAAATCATCAATTCCACGTAGTCCCTAACAACTTTCCTCTAATCGAAGATGGAATAATCGGACTCCCATTCCTTACAAAGTACCAATACAGCGTCACTAACAATAAACTAACCTTAGACGACATTATATTACCATTCCAGAAAACCGATAGCAAGATAAGACCAGGCGAAACTTTAATTTCAACCCAATACGTCGCAGGAAAGCCCACAACAGTATGTTTCATCAACACTGGTAAGCAAATCTGTCACATTACAAACGAAAAGAGAAACCCGATAAACTAAGTCAAATTAATACATTCGCACAAATAATACGTACCAAACATATTGATCCAGAACTTCGAGAACCCCTTGAGAAGATCCTCATCAATTACTTAGACGTTTTTAATATGGAAACAGACTCATTACCACGTACTAACTTGACAGAACATACAATCACACTCAAGACAGACAAACCTATAAACATCAAGTCCTATAGACCGCCCGAATGTCATAAAAAAGGAATCGAGACCCAAATCAACGACATGTTAGACAAACAAATCATAGAACCATCGGACAGTCCATATAACGCACCAATTTGGGTAGTTCCAAAGAAATTAGACGCATCAGGCAAACAAAAATGGAGAATCGTTATAGATTTTAGAAAATTAAACGAGCAAACAGACCAAGACGCATATCCTTTACCAAATTCGGACGAAATACTCGATCACTTAGGCAAAGCTAAATTTTTCTCAGCCCTAGACTTCTCGTCAGGATTTCACCAGATACCTATGGAGCAAAATTCCAAAAAATATACTGCATTCTCAACCCCACGAGGTCACTTCCACTATAATCGCATGTCCTACGGCCTAAAAAACGCACTGGCGACGTTTCAACGTATGATGGATACCGCGCTACGGGGGTTAATAGGAAATAACTGTTTTGTATACCCAGATGACATTATAATATTCGAGAGCACCATCCAAGAACATAACCGAAATCTAGCTATTATACTAGACAGACTACGAAATTTAGGATTAAAAGTGCAACCGGACAAATGCGAATTTTTGAAACCAGAATTGGAATACCTAGGACACGTAGTAACAAAACAGGGAGTAAAGCCTAATCCCAAAAAGATTCAAGCCGTGAAAGATTTTAAAACACCAAAAACCGCGACCCACATAAAATCATTCTTAGGACTCGTTGGATACTATAGAAAATTTATACGTAATTTTTCTAAAATCGCAAAACCACTGACAGATCTCACAAAAAAGAACACTCCATTCCATCGGACCGATAAACAACTTGCATTTGACACACTAAAACAAAAACTCTGCGAAGCCCCTGTACTACAATATCCAAACTTTGACAAAACATTCACATTAACGACAGACGCAAGTAACGAAGGGTTAGGAGCAATACTCTCCCAAGACGGACATCCATGCTGTTATATATCCCGAACTTTGAACCCTCCTGAAAAAGATTATTCCACAACCGAGAAAGAGTTATTGGCAATAGTATGGTCAATCAAAAGATTAAGACAATACCTACTTGGTAGAAAATTTAAAATTCAAAGTGATCATCAAGCCTTGAAATGGATAAAGAATGTTAAAGATCCCTCATCGAGACTCATGCGATGGCGTTTGAGACTCGAGGAGTACGATTATGAAATCGAATACAAAAAAGGAAAAGAAAATACAGCTGCAGACGCTCTATCCCGATTGTATCCTATCACTAATGAAGAAATCCAACCCAATGTAGAAAACCCGGACTATTATGACGAGTATATAGACTGGAAAATCAATATCACCCCAACTCCGATAACTCAAAAACTTAACAGACCACACTTTAAACAAATTACAAAGACCGAATTAAGAGACTTTAACGAACAGCATTGGTTGCGTCAATTAACCAAAAACTTTATTAAATACGAACTGGACGCTTACAAATAGGAATAAACGACAATAGCTTCAGCACGTTAGAAAAGGTAAATATTCAACTTATGCTGAAGTTTCTAACAACTAGATTCCCTCAAATTAAATTAATATTTGGACAAGATCCGCCAGTAGACTACGATAACGAACAAAAACAAACGATACTACGCGAAAATCATAACGAAATAGTAGGACACTTAGGTATACACCTCACCGTGAAACGAATACAAGAACACCATCACTGGACGAACCTAGAACAAGACGTTACAGAATTCATACAAAACTGCGAAACTTGCCAACAAGAAAAGCTAAATCGTATCAGGGCCAAAGAATAACCTATAATAACTGACACACCCCTTAATCCTAATGACAAAATCGCAATGCACATATTCGGACCTCTCACCAAAACCAAGCGGGGCAATCAGTTTATCCTGTCTATCCAAGATCAATTAACCAAATATCTCATCCTCATACCCTTAAAAGACCAAACAGCCAACTCAATCATTAACGAACTTTTGGATCATTATGTATATGTCGGAGATGAAAGGAAAACCGGAGCCTTCCCTTTGCAATTTTGAGGAAGCCTTCTAATGCGTTAGCCTAGATTTTATCATAGCTGTAATTAAGGAATTGTCATTTATAATTGTTTGATATTTGTGAAAACGAAAGAGGGTTCGAGGTGACAACTGGTCGCCGAACGTAGCCACGGTCACGGGATAAACGTTTTGCCTGACGAAGGTGTGGATCGGTTGTATTGTTCTCCCTAGAAATCACATAGAATTGTACTTTAGAGATGTCGATATAATGGGACACACGTTGTATTAGGAATCAAACTCCAGACAGAAACTGCCTCGCCTAGTAACGGCGTTTGGATCTTTCTCGATGTTTCCAAAGAGTATACAACAAACTTTTGACAGAAATTGCCTAGCAATAACGATTGGAACCTTCTCGATGTTTCCAGCGAGCATATAACAAACAAATGCAGTCGTATAGCGAAAAAGATTTTCATCAGATATTCATTCGTGTGATCGCCTTGGAAGCCCCGGAACATTGTTAATAGCGTTAATTAAATTCATTATTCGTAAAACCTATCAATCGTTAATCTCATTATTCGTTAAATTTATTATTCGTAAAACATATTATTCGTTCCTCTTGTTATTCGTTAAACTTATTATTCTTTAATCTAATCATTAGTTAAAGTTATCGTTTGTTAATCTTATCATTTATTAAACTCATTATTCATAATATTTTGTAAAATCTTGTATATTCGCGTAAATATAATCTCTGTTTCGTAAAACAATGGCTAATTCAAACGAAGAATCGTTACGCGCCTTAATTTCTAATGATAACCCGACATATATATATTTTCCGCACCAAAAAGTATTCTCACGGACATGGGACGAAATTGACGGTCACCTTCCAGAATATCACCGAAGACGAAGATGAGGGGATCATTCAACTTAGAAGCCCCATCAGAGCCTTACGCTTTAGCGGAGCAAAGCGAAGCTAAGGAGGGGGGAATGTCACGGTGACCGTGGGAATGCAGCGAAAGGTATCTCACATACCTTAGCCATCAAAACAGTAACTAAGCAGTAACGGAATCACTATGTGTCCGGCATCTAGCGATAACCTCTCCACAGGAACCAAACCCTTGATATAAAAATACCTCCCAAGTCAGTACTCGACATTCTATTCTGTCCTGTTAAAACATTCTGTATCGTTACTCTGTCAGTTTGTAATAAAATTTGTAATAACGATCATAATTGAAGTGCGAATCTCTCACCGTACGTGCGTAACGTGAAATTACCCCGTATCGACGTGACACTGGCCACGCGCCGTCTGTACGGACCGCATAGGCCGCGAGTATTCAGCACTCTAGACTAGTTCGCTAAGACGCTAAGACTGTGTGTAACTTTCTAAAGAGATCGCACGCGACTGAGACTGATGAAAACTGGTCACCTTACGATCGCGTTCATTTATTTATGCTGGCCGAGGGAATACTTTGTTAGACGGTCCCTCGAAGCGGCGACATTGTTTTTGCACGAAGTTTATTTACTATTACAGTATGTCCTAACATTGTTGATATACCGAGGTAAGACCACACGTGGCTCGATTTGTCCTCCAGCTCGTGTGTCGCTACAATATTATATAAATTTATAAGTATGAGATACGGAAAAAATTAAACGAGTTTGAAAAAAGCAAATTCTTGAACTAAAACAGCAAGAGTTATTAGTAGCAAAAATATGGAAAGTAATAAAAAGAGGTCGTAAAGTAATACACAATTTCTTAAAAAATGTAGAAGATTATGACAAAAAGAAAACAGTTAGCAACGAAGGAAATAATGAAAAATCTAGTGTTAGTGGCAGTGTTTCAAGTGTTACATTGGAAAAGAAGTAAAGCAACGCATTGGAAAAAAAATGAAGAAGGGTACTATTTTCAAGCGAAAAATATTCAACTTGGATTGTCCTGATGGGTTCCAATATTATTTTCATGATATAAGAAAAGAGACAATGTCGGCAATTCGAAGACAAATGGCAGGAGGCAGCGTGATGGTTTGGGCCGACATCGGTTATTTCGGCAAGAGATGTATCAAGCTCATCGATGGGAGAATGAATAGTGTCCGGTACATAAATTTAATCAACGAACAAATCATGCAGAACGTGTTTCTGGACCTGATTACATCTTTCAACAAGATAATGCACGTGTACACACATCAGGATTGGTCCAATCATACTTTAATGCAAATATACATCTGTTTTGCCGTGACTAGTACGCTCCCCGGACTTTATTATTATTAAAAATTGCTGCGCAGCACCAGTTCACGGTGTATACGCGAATGGAAAGCAGTGTCAACACGTACAAAAATTAAAAAATGCAATTGTACGCGAATGGGATATATTGAGTCAAAATTATATTCAGAAACTACATAAATCGATAGCAAATCATACAATAGAAGTAATAGAAAATAAGGGGGGATGTACTCATTCTTT